CGACGTGCGTGTAATTGGATTTGAGGTAGGCAACAAGCAAGCTTTACGTTTTGTTTACTGATTAAATTACGTAAACGCTGACCGAACCATTTTTGCTACTGACTACCATTATTCTTTTATTATAAGTAACTATGTTATATCATGTAACGAAGTCATTTGCAAGTTGGCAGCAAGTCTTTTCAGAACATACCGGTGTTTCTTTTCGTTTCTTCTCGACTGTATTCTTGAGTGTTACACTTACTCCAGCATTCGTAAACTGATTTTGATGATTCTTTTTTGTTGGAAAGAGGGTACCTCTGCATTGATATCATTTTGAAGAAAATATTCCACCTCTAAGGGTGGCAAATTTGGGGATGAATCCGGTTTCGCGCACTTTCTGGTAACCGATTTCAATAAAACTTGGCAAAAGATATAATTCCGCGAATTTCATATTTATTTTAAATGGTTTTTTAAACACGTAACAGTAAAGTTGTGTTTTGCAAGGTATACTTGCCATGTTAACTGTAAATATTCTTTGTTAGCTTAGATGTATTAAGCTACAATTTCCCAATCCTCTTGCACTTTGCTATCTATCATTCAACCTCTGATAATTTAATATTCTTTGTTAGCTTAGATGTATTAAGCTACAATTTCCCAATCCTCTTGCACGTTGCTATCTATCATTCAACCTCTGATAATTTGAGTTTGATTCTTGGATGCTTTCACGAGTTTTGACGCAACGCGATGCGTTGCATATTATAACCTCTTAATTGTGAAACGTAATATCATGTACTTGGATTCGAATTATAATTGAAAACTATTATATATAAGAGAAAATTTAATTAAAAAAAACTCTTCCTCAGGCTTAAAAATCAGTGAACACTTCTTAATTGTAATTTCCGGAAACATTTTACAACTGTAAATTCGGGTAGGTAAGTTTCACCGATTCTTAAGAGTATGTTTTACAACCTTCTTATTTATGTAGTCTTTCCGACATCTTGGGAGTAAAAACACGCGCATCGTGTCTGATGGTCGGATCCGACTATCGGATCGGATTCACTCAATACACGTCCGATTCTTTCGTCAGACTTTTTCTGAACTAACTGCAGTATTGCCAATTTATGGGTAATTCGCCAAACACAAGGAGTTTCAACTCAATAACTCGGTTGGGGATTTTGTTTGGATTACGCTATGTGGGGAAAATGCCCTCGCATTCTAGAATTTTAGGAAATGAAACTATTTTTCCGGATTTAAATCGCGTATATTTGTTTTTTCAAACAAACCGACGTTTCGGGTCCTTTACAGGTCCCATGGTCACGGTTGACTGATTCTAGAATTTTATCATATTTTTGTTACATTGATAATCACTGATAAAAACACTATTAATTTGTTTGTTTATGAACGATATTGATATTTTTTTCAACATTGCACATGCGCTGCTTATATAGCAACATCATCCAAGAGCCAGGCTCTTAAATAGGATGATGATGATCAGTCGGTGCGTGTTGAGCGCGCGACCCTTCCTCGTTTTGACCGGTCCCCGGTGTGAAAAAAGAATACAGCTGTTGCCGAACAGTAGGTATTTTAAAGGACTATTCACACACATCAGAGCCGTGCCCGGGACGTGGACGTGGCGTGCTAGTTTGTATGAACTGCGGGCCCGTCCCGGCGCCAGCCCGGACACGGACATGTGTGAACGAGTTCATACAAAATAAACGCAACGGTATTTTTATGAGCCCCTGACGGAGCACAGCCCATTCACGTCCCGGGTGCGGCCCGTCCACGTCCCGGATATATATGGACAGACCTTAATACCACAACTTGCTACTCGTCAAGCTTAAATAATAGGGGTTAAAGTATGTAATTGCCGATTTGTACTGAAAATCTAAATTGTTTATTTTTTAAATTTTTAACAAATTTATTTAATCAAAATAGTTGCCATTATTATCTATACATTGCTGCCATCTAATGGGAAGGTTATTAATGCCTTTGCGATAGAACTCCGACGATCTAGACTGCACAAATTGTGTGAAAGCATTTTGTACTGCCTCCTGGGAAGAAAACTTCTTGTCACGTAGATAATTGTCCAAATCACGAAAAAAATGGTAGTCCGTTGGAGCAAGGTCTGGTGAATACGGAGGATGACGAATGGTTTCTAACTGCAGTTCCTGAAGGGTCAAAATGGTTTCTCGTGCTGTGTGAGGTCTCGCGTTGTCGTGGAGCAATAATGGTGAAGATCGATTCATGAGTCGGGGCTGTTTTACTGCTAGTTTTGTCAACATGGTTCGGAGTTCGGCACAATAGACATCTGCCGTTATTGCTTGACCAGATCGGAGAAAACTATAGTGAATAACACCATGCTGAGACCACCAAACAGTTACCATTACCTTTTTATTGGTAAGTTTTGCTTTAGGACACTGTTGTGGCATTTGACCTGGGGTCAGCCATTGCATTTTTCTTTTCCGGTTATCATAAAGAATCCACTTTTCATCACATGTTACAATTCGATCCAATATTCCTTCATTTCTGTACCGGTTCAACAAGGCAACACAAGTTTCAACACGCGTTTCTTTCTGCAGATCAGTCAAATCATGAGGCACCCATTTTTCGTATTTTTTTATTTTATTGATTTGACGCAAGTGAGTCAATATTGTGGGTAAGGTAACGTTAAACCATGCCGCTAATTCCTGGGTAGTTTGACTAGGATCGGCTTCCACTATCTCTCTTAATTCATCGTTATTCACCTGTGTGGGTGGTCTTCCTCGTGACTCGTTCTTTAAGTCGAAATTTCCATCACGAAAGCGTTTAAACTAAAATCGCACGGTGCGTTCATTAGTAAACCCCTCTCCAAACGCAGCATTGATATTGCGGGCTGTTTCTGCCGCGTTAGTTCCGCGTCGGAACTCGTATTCAAAAATCACTCGAATTTTCGCAGTATCCATCTTTCTTGTCTAAATTGAATAACAAAAACAATTGAAAGTCGATATTCAAATGTTTCAAATTTAAAAAAAAAAAATCACAGAAACCATTTGAAAAAAGTTTCATTCGAAAACCTCAAACCATGAAGATTCTATGAAAATTCAAAGAACCTATTGCAATAAAACGGCAATTTCATACTTTAACCCCTAATATTAAGGTTTGAACTTAATTCAACTTGTTGAGTTTATTTCTAATTATAGCATAACGTATATGTAATAGATGGGTACATTTTGACTTTCTTAATTATTTGATATATTTTTAAGCATAACAATAATAATATAATAAATACTGAGAATGAATAAATATTATTACGTGTGGGAAATATGACCTTTGCTCTCCCCAAATTTATAACCTTGATTTTTAGAGATTTTGAATAATTTGCATTGACAACCCTGCAAATCGGAGGGAAGAATCGGACGCGTATTTCGTCACCCCGCAAAAGTATAGAGAGCGCGCCTTCAGACAATCGGATCGGTAATAAAATCGAACGCTATTTCCGACTCGGACGCCACTTGAGTGTTCATACAATTATATGGTACGAGCGCCTTCCGGTAGTCCGATCAGACTATCAGATGGAAAAAACGGACGTGTATTGTCGCACTTATTCATAGTAAACAAAACGTTTAATGTTTACAATATAATGAGCATCCATTAATTCAAGTTCACAGAAACTTCCTTGAGGTCCGACGTTAACATTGATTAAAATATTATTTATTACTCAAGCCCTTTGAGACCCGTGGCATTTGTAGTTTCTCTCGTTTTATAGCAAGAGAAGGGAAACAAAATGCGGTCCTTCACCTGCCTGCCGGATGTTTGGAGCTTGCACCTGTTGTCTTGTTTCAAGTATCTATCTAGCCAATAAGACTTTCAATAATACTGTTGATTGCAATGCAAAAACCACCATCACGATTTTAAAGGTGAGATCATCGATATCATATTAATGTAAGGTTCAACTATTTGTTCTAATAATAATATTTTCGGATGTATCGTATTAGAAAATCCATAGCATTACCATTTATAACCGACTTAAAAAAAAAAGGTTCTCAATTCGACTGTACGTTTTGTGTGTGTATGAACCGATTTTGATGATTGTTGAAAAGTGAAATGGGACCATTACTGAGGTAAAAAATATTCCACCTCTAAGGGTCGTATTCCAGAACTCTACTCCATACTCAAGTCAGGACTTGAGTGTTGCAGTGAGCACTGAAAATCATACTCAAGTCCTTGCCATTAGTGTCGTATTTCCAGTGCTTGAAATCATATTCAAGTCTGCTCAAATCCTGACTTGAGCATTGACTAGAGTTCTAGAATACGACCCTAAGAGTGTCAACCTAAGGGATGAATGGTGTCTATTGTGTTTCACCCACTTTCCGTAAACTGAATTCAATTTAGGCAAATAGAGGTTATCCTACAAACTTTTTAGGTCGGCTTTTTATAACGTTATTTTCTCTCGTATCTAAGATAGAAATTTATTTATTTTTTCCTAAATACGCGGTTATACATGTTTTAATATCGATTATCGATCGCAAGGCCACAGCGACAGAGGAGCTTTTAAACCGTTTAAACAATACTTTCGCTAGCCACAACGTCGCAGTGTGGTTTAATAATTGTATAACATTTCAATAGATCGATCTCTGCTTGAAAATCAGGTCGTTGTGGGTACTATGCATTGTTACAATTGTAATCTTACCTATTTATGATGTTTAGGTAAACCTGCGTAACTGATTACAAAAAAAGGTGGGTATGCAGGTGCATTTATAGGGAATGTTCGTGTGTACCGTGTACATTGACTGTTTTCAGAAGGATCCATTCTTCAGATCCATTAGAACTTGTCATCTTCACAGAGTGACAAACAGTGCGAAGATAATACTTTTTGCAACAAGCAAGTTAGAGAAACAAATACTGTAAAAACTCAACGTAGCAGCTATGTTGTAAATATTGCAAAAAAAACATTGACCTACCATGAAAAAACCTCTAACTTAAATAGCAATGTAATCACTTCTTTATAATAATTAACGTCACTTTTTTTGTTCTCCACTCACCAGAAAGGAGTTGCAGCCATCCGCAGATGTGGAACACGGTCGTTGACTGGCAGAAGAAGAACAATAACATCGCACATATTGTAAACAGGGCCAGAGCGACCGCTGCACCTACTAACACAGTCGCAATCTTGAACACCAGTCCATTTATTGACATGAACTCATCTAATCTTCCTTTACAGTCCTCCACGGCATCATCAGCACGGCACACTTGCCATAAACCGAATTTCCTCGGATACTCAGTTTCCAGATCTCCTATCCATTCAGGAGTAACAAAACCTACAATGCTGATAATCGCATAGCAGATTGTGAATATAGCCCAAAGCACACCAATAGCTTTCGAATTACGGACGTAATTCGTAGCATACAAATGTGACGAATCGACGTATTCGATTTTAGAACCCATTTTTTAAATAAACACTTCACTTGTTTTTAGTTAACTATTAACATACTTTATTTTTTTATTATTTTGATATTCACTTCGTTCATGTCTAACAAAAGTTATAAGAACACGAGGACGCGAGAACCACGAAACAATACGAAGGAAACATGAGACAACCACTTGCAGCGTGCCGTTCGACTGAGTGAGCTGTGGTGGGGATAAGTAATCAAGCTACAAGTTTGACCTATTGCGGTTTGGTCTTTTGCTCTTATTTTTACAAGCTTTCTCTTATATTTTAACCTCCCTCGTTAAAATTTTGTTAAAGTACAATAGTCAAACCCTTTGCAATGCATCTGCTTCATACGAATGAGTAAAGTTTTGCATTTTACTATTGAAATAGTTAAAACTCGTAGTCGTTTCTGTAATTATTAGAGCGCCATCTAGTAGTAAGTATGTGCAAGAACTCAAGAGAGCTATTGGTGCGGCATCTATCATGTCCTCGACAAACTGTTGCACTAAATTACTAAACCGCTTTTTTCATAGTGTTCTACCTGATGGCGTTTATCTTAACTTCGTCGAAGTTTTAATCAAAAAGGTAGTAAGTACTACATGTAATATAATGTCCGTAAGGCCTATATAATATGATAGAGTTATATATCGTAAATGTCACTGATCACGCTTTTTTTACTATGTTTTTAGTTAACACATTATATGAAACAAAGCAAAAACTCTAAAACAAAACGTTTTCACATCACGTGTCTGCGTAAATTTCGCGCAAAAATCAAAGAAAACATTCGCTTTGAACCGACCGATGTGATATATATTCAGTGTTGCCAGGTCTACTGTTTTTCCAGTAGATCCACGGTTTTTGGACTACATCTACTGTTCTACTGTTATTTAGCGAAAATGTACTGATTTTTAGGAATTTTCAGATTTTTCACATTTCACAAGTATTCTTGTCGGCTTTTTAGATTTTGTGACTCTCTGAACATACTGAACAATTGTCGGAACTTTTGCAAAACTTTACAATGTGGTCAAATCGTAGAACACAGTTCTTTCATATTTTTTTTTGGTATTTCGACATATGTCAATCACAGGTCTAAAAAATGCGGGGAAGCAAGTTCTATGGTATTATTGCCCAAAAATACTATTTAAAAAAACGCACCTTTCTCTTTCGAGTTTTTAGCCGATTTTTTTTAGATTATCCGTTGAGTAAAGCAATAAATAATCTCAGTACAGAGTACTGAAAAACCGACTTCAAAAGTTCGTGGCTAAGTATTTGTCAAATTTTGTTGAAATCGGTTACCAGAACGTGCGCGAAAACGGATTCATCCCCTAGTTTGCCACCCTTAGAGGTGGAATATTTTCTTCAAATTTAAATGGGACCACATCGCTGTTGTGTGCTGTTCCGAAGAACTGCCAGAAATCAACCAAGACGAGATCGTATTGGCTCTAAAACAGCTTCAAAACGGAAAAGTCCCAGGTGAAGACGGAGCTACTACAAAGCTTCTCAAGTCTGGAGGAGTCCCTGTTATTAAGGAATTTCGGGGGCTTTTTGACTCTGTCATCTACTGTAAGAGAACTCCTCAGAAGTTGAACAGGAGTATAGTAGTTCTCTTCTTTAAAAAGGCAGATAAATGTCTACTTAAGAACTATAGGCCCATCTTTCTCGTAAGCCACGTCTACAAGCTGTTTTCTAGAGTCATTACGAATTATCTCGCCAGAAGACTCGACGAGTTTGAGCCACTGGAGCAGGCTGTGTTTAGACGGGGATATGGTACCATAAACCACAAACACACAGTGAGGCTGATTATACAGAAGACAGAAGAGTATAATCAGCCCCACGTCTAGCCTTTGTGGATTATGAGAAGGCCTTCGATTCCGTCGAGACCCTGGGCTGTCTTGGAATCCTTACAGCGATGCCAGGTAGACTTTCGTTATATCAAAGTGATGAGATGCCTGTATGACGCCACTACCATGAGTGTTCAAATACAGGGCCAGCACTCTAAGCCCATCCAATTACGCAGAGGAGTTAGGCAGGGGGATGTCATATCCCCGAAACTGTTTACAGCCGCTTTGGAAGATATGTTTAAGACGCTGGACTGGAGAAGGATGGGAATAAACATAAAAATGCATCTCACACTTGCGATTAGCGACAAAGTCCTAATGGCGGAGTCGCTGGAGGAGCTACAATGAATGCTGGACAGCCTAGCATCCGCCTCGCAACGCATTGGTCTCGGCATGAACTTGGATAAAACGTAAGTCATGATCAATGATTATATTGTCCCGAGGCCAATCGCAGTAGGCCACCTTCTTGAAATTGTTTCCGAATACATTTACCTTGGGCAGATTTTGCGATTGGGTAGAAACAACTTCGAAAGGGAAGCCAAGAGGAGGATTCAGCTTGACTGAGCAGCGTTTGGTAAACTACGTCGAGCCTTCTCGTCACCCATACCGCAAAGTTTGAAAACAAAGTTTATTAATCAGTGCCTTCTACCTGCTATGACATGCGGAGCCGAGACGTGGACACTCACGATACGGTTAGTTCACCAGTTCAAAGTCGCTCAGCGAGCTATGGAACGAGCTATACTCGGAGTTTCTTTGAAGGACAAGGTTCGGAACGAGGTTATTCGACAGAGAACTAAGGTCGTCGACATAACTGGTAGAATAAGTAAGCTGAAGTGGGCGGGCTGGCCATATCTGTCGAAGTACCGATAACGCTGGGGGAAGCGGTTTCTTGAGTGAGACCACGGCTCGGAGAATGTAATGTAGGAGCCCCATGGCTATATGGAGTGACGATTTGCGAAGGGCTCCTGGCAGTAGATGGATGCAACGAGCTGAGGACTGGGTGAAATGGCGCACATTGGGAGAGGCCTATGTCCAGCTGTAGACTATGATAGGCTGTTGATGACTACTGAGGTACCTTCTTTCCAACAAAAAGAATCATTCAAATCGGTTTACAAATGCCATACTGCCAAATGTTATCGCGTAAAATACATACAAAAAAACATGCAGACGAATTGAAAACCTCCTCCTTTTTTTAAGTCGGCTAAAATACAATTTTTATATTCAGTTACCAACATCGTAAGATAACATCACACACATTATGTGACAATGTATGAAGAAAATCGATTAAAAGTGTTTCAAACAACGAAAGTTCAGCATCTACTGCTTTTTTCCTCAATGTACTGTTTTTTCGATGCAATATCTTCCGATTTTTTCATATTTGTCCTGGCAACACTATGTATTTATTATGTATATTGTATAGGTTTCGCCAACACAATTTCGGCTATTTCAAGGAAAAACTCATTTTAATTCTATACTAATTATGTTTATCGGTTACAAATTTGTTCTTATCAGTGGTGTATAGTGGTTTTTACATGGCATTTACCATTTTAATTGTTAAAAATGTCGAATAAAGACAAATGGGTACGCCGGTTTTCCGTCGACGAAACTGCAAGACACAACAATGGATTCACTATTTACAAAATAACTAGCGTTGTGAGTCCTATTTCTTTCTTAATTCCCACAATAGCTTATCCGTAGGACTAATTTATGGACATGTTTCCGTTTTAATATATTTGCTTCTACAAACGAAATTATCAGAGCTTATACAGTATAAATTCGTATGGGAAAAATAGTATTTGTTTTCGACTTATCTTCTATTTCATGACCTCGAGTTAATTTATTCAGCCTTAACGCTTACGCCTAATTGAAACTACCACATACCTCTGAAGAGGCGAGAATTCTCCTTACTTTTACACAGTAAAAGTTATAATCGAAAATTACTGAGAACAACAGCCATTCTCTTATAAGCATAAATTTCACATTGCCGTGTCGCTTAAACTCTCGTTTTAATTATTTCTGCAATTTTTAATTGGAGAAACAGTACCCAACAGTTAAGAGCTGTTTTTGGTTATGTAAGTTATATGAATTTTGTTTTTTTAAAATAATTAATTCTGATATGTGCCACTACTGAGCACGAGTCTTGCCTGGAGGGTTGGAGCAACATGGGTTATAGCAATGTCTACTTTGTCTTTAAAAGATTGATTGTTATTAATAAAGTGTATGTCACAGTAAAAGTCACAGTAAAGTGTATGCACAGTGGTACTGTCAGCCAATTTTATATGATTTTTTAAAAACTTGTTTAAAAAATCTTTGGTTTTATACTTCAATATTTCAAAAATACTGCTAAATATTTATGCATGAATTTAACATTGGTTTAAAACTGTGTCTTTTGTTACCTTATAATTATTTTTGTTTAGGGTTTTTAACACTGTGCTGTGTTTTGTTTGTGACCAGGTCTGAACACACAAAATACACATAAAAGATAAAGATATCTTGTATGAATCATTCAGATTACACAATAAATATAAGTTATTTCATACTGAACATTTATGAGTAGTATGATATTTACGACATACACATAGAATTGATAAAGTTTGAATCATCAAAAAGTTATGTCTCGGGAGACAGGGCAGTGCCCCAATCATTGAGATTTAAAGATCTCGTGTGGCAGTGTAACTGTTATGGACAGGTGTGTCGCTTACCACCAGGTGCACTGCTAGTTCGTCCCGTCACTTGGTAGAATAAGAAAAAAATTTACTTGATTCATGATATGTTTGAATAAGTAATACCTTACTTGTAGTATGCTAAGGTAATTACCAAAGGACCTACACGTAAAATCTAGGTGAACTTACTCCCACAGCCAACTGTTCTTCATTTTCTCTGGCTGAAGGTCTCCTATATCCTATTTACCTGTTTGCAGCGCCACATTCTTCCAATCAGCGGCGGATTTGCCCAAAGGCCCAGTAGGCCCGGGCCTAGGGTAGCCAATCGTGGCAAAAAAAAATCACTGATGATAACAAGAAATAACTCAAAGTACCTCAATATTGTAATGGCTTACGCATATTACGGCGGGCCAAACTGCACCGCATTGTATAACAATAATCTTCCTAAATCACTTTTGTACATTTTTTATTTATAAAATATAGATATATTACATGTCTATAATGTAATGTATAATCACTACATCTATCTGTCTGTCTGATCACGATAAACTCAAAAGCTACAGAACGGATGCTTGTACTCACTACATGGCCTGAGGCTTAGAGCGGCCAATTCTGCAAATCCACCACTGCTTCCAATACAGTGTATTTACATTTTTAGCGATAAATGAAGCCATAACAGTTGCAGTGTCAGTCAGGGTTTTAAATCGTAAAAACCGGGGAGCACTGCTGCTGCATCTGTCTACTTCTTATTGTATTGATGGCATACACTATGTTATTGTTGCTACCCGCGTCGCTAGTAGTAGCCGCCATGCTGAAGTGTGGGACGTGTTTGCCGTCGTGACGAAAGGATTTGCCAATTGCTGTAGCATAGTTGCCGATTGTTGATCAGGGTGTGCCACACAGAGGACATAAATATTACGCCATTGCGCGGAGGCTCCTTTCGTGCACCGCACCTGTCACCCTAAGACATAAATACTATAATAGTCCCATGTTCCTGTGGTTTCATTAGCACCTATACCATTAAAAACTAATATTTACTGCTGGGCATCAGAAATAGGTATGGTGGTACTTCTCTGACCAAACTCTTTTATTTATTATTTTATTTACTGTTTCTGAATTATTTGAATGAATATGTTTTAATTAAAACCATTTTCTCTTTCAGCTATTTCCCACTGCCTCCCCTGAAGCAGTAACTGTAGTGTCAGTGTGGAAGCGGTACAGTGATGTACAGCAATTACATAATAGCATGCGAAGATTGCATGCTGGGTTGCATTTAAGAGGGACCTTCCCTGAGCTTGTGCGTCATAGTTATTTCAAACGATTTCAGCAACAGGTGAGACATAATTCTGTACTTTTAAATGTGAATGTACTCAAAGAAGCTTGTAAGCTCCTATAAGGATTGATTGTGTTAGGCAGTATGCATATTTAATCTGCTTGAAGGTCACCAGACAGAAGCCTTACCTTGTAACATAATAAAACTGTGTTTTTTTTTCAAATTAGTGATAGGCTCACATTTGTCCACAATGTCACCAGTAGGGCTACCACGACAGGGCGCGAGATCGACAAAAACGCGAAATCTCTATGCGAGAATAGTAGCATCTCGCGCTAGTCGTGCCCTATAGTGCTAGCCCTACTTGTAGAGTGTAGACAAATGATGTTCTTTATTGGTTTCTAGGTTTGAGTGCGCAAAAATGCTCTATTTGAATTTGTAACTGAAATTTTTTTTTATATAAAAATAAGTGCGCGATTGACCTCCATCTCACCCGATGGAAAGTGATAATGAGATTGATATTTTATGTTCTGATTTGCAGGAAGAATGATCAATTATTAACTGCCTCTGTGACCGAATGGTTACCATGCTGGACTGCCACCCAGAGGTCTCGGGTTCGATTCCCAGGCCGAGATAAATAATTGTATGGCCTACATTTATTTCTCTTGTGAGTTTGGGTGTAATTTGTGGTTGTATATATGTGTGTCCATGGCACCCGCGACACAGGATTTCCCTGGTGCGGGGCTATGTTGAGTGTGTGTGTTATTATTATTAATTATAATAATTTATTATTTCCAGGTGATTGAAGAACGTGCGAAGCTAATAAAAACTCTACTGGAGTTCATAGCTGAACACAAGCTTCTATTTACAAGTACAGATTTCGTCAATTTCCTTCAAGTAAGCACAGAATGGCATTTTTCTATATTGGAAACTTGTTTTTTCACCATGCACAGAAAGAGTCGACAACTTTTTTGTTGTCGACTCTTTATATGTCGACTCGTTACAATGAGTCCTTATCTCAAAGGAAAGAAACAGAAAGGCACTACACCATTCACAATAATTGAGTTTGGTGTACGACATCGCCCTCTAAAGCTAAACTAGTGCAAATGTTCCAGACGGGCTACCCAGCTCCCTCATCGTCCTCGTCTTCAGGCACCATTAACGCCATCCGCTCCTCGCTCCATCTGCCCATTGAGGAATCTCCTCCACTGGAGTATCAGACTTCTGATGACGACTCAAAGAGTCCAGCGCATACTGGTAATCACATACCATTTTCCTTTGACCTTCAATATAAACCACAAATTTCCAATGAGCGACCACGAAAACAATGACACGCAAAACTATTCAACCATTAAAAAAAAATTTACCGCATTTACGTAACTGTTTTAATTAATTTTGTTCAAATTCTTTGTTTCTTCGTGTTAGACAAATTATAAAGAATAAACTCTTGAGTTACAATAATCCACTTTGCGGCATACAAAGTTTTCGTAACTTTTATGTAAACGTTCGTGCAATGCTTTGTTCGGTATACTTCAATAAAATAACATCAGTCACAAAAAATTACAGTTGTGTCTAGTTTAAAAAAACAGTTATAATGTAAATTTAGAAAGAAATATTGTAGATATCATTATAGTAATTAAATAATGTTATTTTAAATTTTGGACAGTTAATTAACTACTAGCAATTCCTAATTTCAGTCAGAAATTTATTGTAGACCTTTGTATGACGGAAATACATGTCATTTGCATGACATTGAATAGCTCTCAGCACTTTGACCTTATAATTTAATGTGTCAAGAGGTAATAAACTCACACAAAATGAGAACTCGGAATAAAATTTAGTGCCAAACATATGGATAGGCCCTTAAACATCTAGAACTTAACAAAGAAGACTAATAATAAAGTAATAAATGTAAAAACTTTGTACAATTGTTTTCACAGCACGTAATGAGGTTCGTGACGAGACAGACTTTATTTCTCAAATCCCAATCTATGAAGCTGCAGACGTGGAAATGCCATCAACACCCAACATCTCAAAAGCTGACAGCTTCGAATCAATAAACTCCTTGGAAAGCATAGGTAGTGACTTGTACAGTGAATTAGACAAAGTGACTATAGACAAAGCCAAACCCAGTGTCAAAAGAGTGTTGCCAGATTTAATTAACTTTGATGTTCCATCGACATCGAGGTTCGATGACTACCATACTATGACTAGTGGAGTTTCTAACTCTGAAACAGTGTCATTAAGTTCTTACACAAGAAGTAATTCGCGAGTATCATTGTATAGAAGTGAATTATCTCTTTCTAATGTAGAGAATAAAACAAAGACTGAGGACAGTTATGTGTTTGAAGCGGGGTATATGCTGAACTTGGCAGCAAGGTATGAGGATATGAAGGAGTATCAAAGAGCATTCGAAAGCTACAAAGCTGGGATTGAGAAGATGCTTATTGGAGTACAGTGTGAGTATAAACTTTACCACAAATATCCTCTAAGGAGAGGGGTTCGGTTATTGCACCATCATGCTCAAACTTGGCCAGAACTTACAAACTCCTGCATGAAAGGCGTTAGGCTATATCAGCTCAAGTTTACGACAGATACTAGTTCTGTTTTTACAGATTTTCCTATAATTACTGCACTTGTTTGCAGATATTACATGATTACAGAAATTACATGAAAACTCCTGGGTTCTCTTGGTCAATAACTAAACCAACCATGGCTGATCCACAAGCCTATACAAGGTGTAAGGATTACGTTAAGTGTGCCCAGACGATTATTCCGTAAATATGTATAAGAGATATCAAAAAGCTTTAAACTGATATCGAAAGTACGTAAGTAAGATTGTTTTATTACTTTATTTATATCAGTTTTATCATCTGTTAACTTATTGTTACCTCTTACAGTAGGAGAAGTAAAGTCTCTCTATGAATGTCATACTAAATTTATGGAATCGTTTAATGTTAAAATTTTGGATATTTCTGTTTAATTTTGAAATGGTTATTGATGGCGATTTATTCATTAAGTAACGTGCTGTCGATATCAGTTTAAAGCTTTTTAATATCTCTTTATATTTATGGAATAATTGCCTGGACATACCTAACGATTACACCCTGTATACGAGTACAAAGAATGCTGTGCATTTTCAGATAATACAAATCAATGTTAAAGATCTCATATCTTTACTAAAGATTAACATTTTTCAATGGTTTGCGTCTTGTATTTTTCCCTGTTTATATCGACAACAGACAGTACTAAGAATTAGTCATTGTATTATTACTTTCCACAAAGAAAAAATTCACAGAACTCTTATCTTGAAAACTTTAGTTCACACATTAGAACCGAACCTCAGAAGTATGGTAAAATACTCATACTCGTATATTTGTTGATATACAGTGACAATATAAGTATATAAAATAAGGAATGGTAGCCCAGTAGGAGAATGATTGCTTCTTAAGTCCCTGTTATGAGCAATACTTCCCACTAACATGGAGGAAAACATTGTGTTGAACCTGCATGTTGAACATTTTGCAACCCTTGGAAAACATAATATGAAGTCTGAAACCCGCAATGGGCCAGTGTAACGGACTGTACGTTTCGGCCGTGTAATTAATTGATGATGATAAAGAAGGACCAATGATTCGCGTGTCGTCCTAATACATTCCTCTAATCTAAAACTTATATTACAAACCAAATCAATTTGATAAGCTATCAGTCGTTTTATCAAACTCCTAGCCACACTTCAATTTAGCTATCGGTATATTCGTCATAAACTAAATTGTTTTGCGAAAGCACTATTGGCACATTCTTGTTCTCGATAGGCGCGAAAAATAACAGCGTGCTTTGTTTTAGTATCTTTACTTACGTGATTTAAGAAAGTTATACGAGAAAATCTCTCGAGTATAAACAATAGCTTCTAATATGATTGTAGTTGGTTAAAAAGTCACTAGTTTGATATAAATCATTAATTAGTAATAATAAAACAAAAATAATATGTAATAAAATGGATTTTCTATATCTTTACGAATACATCCACAAGTACAATAAAAGCTTGAAAAGTGATATTGAAGATGCAGGTAATTAGAATGCCATTTAAAACTTAAAATGTGAAAAAGGGGCCAAACTCAGCACTACGAACAAGTGTCAACTGATTTTCACATTCGATAAAGAGTGGAAAACTAAGTGCCACTTCAATTAAATTTCTTTCAAACTTACCTACTAAATGTTATTACCACGAACAATAACGTGCAAATGTACAGCATCATCGATTTATTACTATGTAATTCTATTTATAAAGATACGACAACCTGTATGTTGCAATAAAGGGTCCTAAAGAGTCGGTGGGTCCTAAAGGATCGGCAACGCGCTCGTGACGCCCCTGGTATTGCAGGCGTTCATAGGCGACGGTAACCGCTTTCCATCATACATAAAATAAAAATATAGATATAAATAGTGTTTTCTATCTATAATATATATTCAAGCATTAATATAAATGGTAAAAAGAATAATTTTCGTAATTTTTATTAAAAAAAAACCGAATACGTACTTACAAGTTTAATGCTTGTATGTACGTACGATACTTGTATGTTGTGTGTACACATACAAACTGAAACTAAACTAAAAGTTAACAATCGGTAACCGGAAAGTGCGCAAAACCGGATTCATCCCATAGTTGGCCACCCTTAGAAGTGGAATATTTTTTCCAAATTAAATGGGACCAACACAGATCCTCTTTCCAACATTCACACATAGTAGTCTCATTGAGAACCTCCTCTTTTATTTGAAGTGGGTTAAAAAGCTTCATTGTTTACCATAAAATCCCTAACAGGGCAAGTGGTCCAGCAGGAATAATTTTTTATATTATTGAGGATCATACAGCGTAACTTCAATTTCCACTACTTTGTATAATACTTGACTAACAGCGAGCTGTTTTTTGATTGTATAGAATTATTATTAATAATGATTTTGTTATTGATCAATTAATCTTTTGAAAGAGTGATAGTTGTTCACTATTAGGCTAACTTATGGGTGTGACAAAGAAAAAACTTTAAAATGAATTGGGGAAATTAATAAATGAGTTTTACCACTTTTTAAGTTCAATCCTCGTTCCTCGGTGAACTTTGTAAATGAAAGTAGTTATTTATACACCTGTTTTTTTTATTAATAAAACCAACGTATAGCTTTTTCAGGTCACGGCTTTTGTGACTGTTATCTAATAAAAATGTCTGTATCAACCCTTAAACGCCAAGTTGCCTCTCAAAAGTACTTTTTTCAAATATTACAGCGGATACGGATCCCCAACGCCGGGCTCTAATAAAAGAGAAGACCAACAAATACCTATCATATGCAGAGGCTATTTACAAAAATCATCTTTCGGAAGCTGAACCAAGTGTGAGTATGATCGTATACAAATGGAAATAATTATAACGGATTACAAATTAAAAGGTGTAAAATGCTTTTCATACAGTGCTATTTTAAATTAACTTTTGTAACTATTTCTCTCTCGTTTCCAGCTCCTCCCTGAACGAGACACTGGCCCTCGTGCCGTCCATTGTCCTATCCCCATATTTATGCTCCGACGACCGTACGAAGATCTCTCTCTGTACAGAGTTATTGGAGTGCTCGGTGCCAGCGTTATGCTGGTCCTTCATAGAGGGGAACAAAAATGTTATGCAATGAAGGTTAGTTTGTGATGCGTTCGAAAGAAGGATGACGACATCCCGTGTATTTTGTGACTCAGTGTTTTTGACGACGTGCATTAAAGATACTTATTAATACTTGTGAATCATTATCAAAGCATCAAAAAAGCTTATTGAGTACAGCCTGTAGAAGCTGGGGTTATAACCTTGATATAGGTTATATTTATACCGTTGTACTGTGTTTCGTTTCAGATGTTTATTCATAATAGCCAAAACAACAAGTTTTCAGTTTGTTCCTAAATATAATAAAGAACACCGTGTTCTTCCTAAAGCTGCCAAACTCTGCCGCGTTTAATACAACGTTAACATGTTCTGTCGCAATGAAAATGAATGAAAATTAAATCTACACAAATGGCAGAAACCTGCCACAAATGGTCACACTGTTCTCAATCTCAAAGTGACATTGGCAAGAGGCCTCTTGTCAAAATGTTCCTTTGCTAACTTTCGTATCTCTTATTTAAATCAGTGTTGGGCAAAATTTAATTGTTCTGGCAATTAAAGATTGACAATTGATTAATTGTCAATTGCGAAACAGCAATTAACGATTGATCAATTGTTAGTTGCGAGAACCGCAATTAACAATTAATCAATTGTTAATTGCGGTTCTCGCAACTAACAATTCATCAATCGTTAATCGCAAATATCTACAATTAACATTTAATCAATTTTCAATCTTTTCAATGTTTTTGATTAACAATTAACAATTAAAACTGACAATTATGATAAATTTATAGGGCATATGGGGGTGAGTTAGGGCGTTGGTTGTGGGGGCCTGTTGGGGGCCTGCTGGGGGCAGGTTAGGGGGCCGGTGGGGGGCCGGTTAGGGGGCCAGTTGGGGGCCCGGTTGGGAACCCCGCTTGGGGGCCCCGGTTGGGATCCCCGGTTGGGCGCCCGGTTAGGGGGCCGGTTGGGCGGCCCGGTTGGGGGCCCCTGTTGAAGGCCCCGGTTGGGGGGCCCGCTTGGGGGCCCCGGTTGGAGGAACTGGTTGGGGGCCCGGTTAGGGGCCAGGTAAGGGGCCTGAGCCACCCAACCGGGGCCCTCAAACGGGCCCCCAACCGGGGCCCCCAAACCGGGGCCCCCAAACCGGACCCCCAAACCGTGGCCCCCAAACCGGGGTCCCCACACCGGGCTCCCAAACCGGGGCCCCCAACTGGGGCCCCCACCGGGGGCCCCCCATCGGGGCCCCAACCGGGCCCCCTACTGGGCCCCAATCGGGCCCCCCAACCGGAGCCCCAACCGGGTTCCCAACCGGAGCCCCCAAGCGTGGTTCCCAACCGGGGCCCCCAACCGGCCGGAATTCAATTCAATTGAAATCAATTGCAATTAAATTCAATTGCAATTAAAATCAATCGCAATTAAATCAATTGCGACGCGTCGCAACTGATTTAATTGCAATTGATTTCAATTGAATTGATTTTTTAATCTGATTGAATTATTGATTGAAATTTAATTGATTAACGCCCAACACTAATTTAAATATTGTCTAAACATTTTTGTCACATTGCGTTTAATTTTTTACCTTGTCATTATTGTTGAATTGATTATTCGATTAGGAATTTTATAGCTTTAATGTTTCATGTGTGTACTATAAAATAACCAATACTTTATGAAGGTAAACATTCAATCATGCTTAAAATGAAACGTTCGTACAAGAACGTTACCTAATCTATGGTCGAACTGAATCGATTGCGTTGTGTTCTTACATCTATTCTAAAATACATTGTTTTGGAATTTCTTTATTCCCCGACTTCTAATAATATACAATTAAAAAACCGACCTCAAAAGTACATGGAATTACATATAATATACTATATAATAATAACCAAGTTTTATTGAAATCGGTTACCGGAAAGTGAACAAATCCGGATTCATCCCCTAGTTCGCCACTATACGGGACTTGACACAGGAGATAATAAAAATCGGTTCTTACTACTCAAGGTATATTGAGAGAAAAACGCCTTGAATTGGAGAATAGCAAAATCAACCATTAAAATAATTGCTCCTTATAATAAAATTTAGGCACTATTATAAAAATGAATCTTCATGCGTGAACAGCCACTCTTAGGGTCGTATTCTAGAACTTTACTCAATCCTCAAGTCAGGATTTGAGTATGGTTTAAAGCACTCGAAATCATACTCAAGTCCCTGCCATTAGGGTCGTATTTCCAGTGCTTGTGTTTCAATTGCAATCCTGACTTGAGCATTGAGTAGAGTTCTAGAATACGATCCTTAGAGATAGATGTTTTTCTTCAAAATTAAATGGGACCACTATGGAGGTACCCTCTTTCCAACAAAAAAAAAGAATCATGAAAATCGGTTCACAAATACCGGAGTTATCGCGTAACATACATACAAAAAAACCTTCCAGTCCAATTGAGAACCTCCTTCTTTTTTTGAAGTCGGTTAATAAAAAAATCAAAATAATAAAGCTAGTTATTAACTAGGCATAAACTATAGTCCATGAACGGCACTGCGTTGAGTTAGGGTCACTTTCGCCATCCTTCTTTCGAAACTTGTTATGAGATGTTACTCACGGTTTGCGTCCTTAAACACAGTAATCACAGCTACTTTTATGCTTTTGCGTCTTTTCACGGTGTGTAATTTATGTGTGCTACCCCCATACATGGACAAAATACATATCTTTAACATAATATTTACAAGGTTTTGCAAAATTATTACATTAATTTCAGGTGATTCGAAAAATACCAAACAATCTAACAGAATTCGACGAGTATTTTCTTCAAACGGCGAACGAAACTCGCCAACCAATACTGCCGACTGTAATTCCGTACATGGTCCCTTTACATTTCTACATTGAAACAAACAATTTAATATTTCTCATTCTGTCTTACGCACCGGGTGAAAATCTTTTCGATTATATTAAAAACTACGCCAAGTCCGTACCCACTACACCAGCGAGGGAAGTAAATTTGGAAAATGTTTTCTCTGAACCTAAAGTGAAAAATACTCCTTCGGATAACGAAGGCTTAGAAATAGCTAAAACTGAAAATATTATATTAAAAACCGACTTAAAAACTGAATACGAAGAAAAATATCTAAATACTGATTCCGATATAAGTATTATAGATAGAATTGAACAAAATATTCAAAATTTAGAAAATAAAAATGTTAGTATTGACAATTTGGATAAGACTGAAAATATTGATAATATGGAAATATCTGTAAACGAATTGGTAATAAATTCCCAAAAATTATTACTCAATGTCGATAAAGCATTGAGTGAAGTACCAAAGATAGATGACGAAGGAAAGGAAAAGATAGCTAAAGATGTAACAGGAAACATAGATAGAGTTGACGACGAGGTAAAAATAGAAATTGTAGAAGCTAGCGATGTGCAAAAAGATGAACGAAATATTGAGAGAAGAGTTGAGACACCTGTTTCGAATAGGGTAAGTTATTTTGAATGGATCTTTATTTTCACACTTATAGACTGTATTAACACTGTATTAATAATTATAAGAAATTATTGAGATATCCACAAAAATTTGCTAGGTTTTGATCAAAATATTAGTTGTACCTTTTTTCGTTCCAAAGACAGTTTAGTTGTAAGACATTTGTGAAATATATATAGCTTACCTATATGTTTGTCTTGCAGCTAACTCCCCGACCCAAGGATTTGTTGCCTCCTTCAGCTGTGTGCAGATGGGGGGCGGAAATATTAACCGCTCTGGAAAGCTTGCATAACTATGGAGTTATTTGCAGGTATCTTTTGTTGAACTAAACTAGTCGATTCTTGGTAAGCCTATGTTTTATAAAAAAATAAAGTATTTTTTTATTCTTTTCTGATATGCTTGAGTAACTGGCATTAATTTATTATTAATAGAAAAGTCCCAAAATACTCAAAAAACAATTAGTTCGGTCCGATTGTACACGAACCACCCAAGTAGGGCTAGCACGATATTGCACGACTAGCGCGAAAGCGACATAAAGTGCGATATGTCTATGCGAGAATAGCAGTATCCCGCGTTTTATGTCGCTTTCGCGCTAGTCGCGCTCTATCGTGCTAGCCCTACAGGTCCATCTTTGTAAACATAGTAATAACAAATTAATAGACTATTAGTGTTAACAATTATGATGACAAACTAGTGGAATAATTTAACAAAAAATAATTGAACGTTTGAACGTTCAAAAATTTAAAAATTTAAATTAATTCCAGAAACAGATGAATATCACGGTAGTAAAAACAGTGTCTTTGAGCGATAAGTTTAAAGAGGTTAATATTCTTACACTAACGTCACAGTACAATGTAATTAATGTTACAAAGAATGGTATTTTTTTTAATGGGAAATAGAAACAGACATAATATTAATAGGAGGAATAAAAATAAACTTGTTGTCTATAGTCGTCTTCATAAAACTCATAAATTTATCTAAGGTGTAATGTATACGTTTCTGTAATAAAGGGTTGGGGTGATATATAAAATTTCTTATTTACGAGGTTTAAAGCTAGTTAAATAAAAACTATATTTTAAAGGTTATTTAGATCGATGACATTACATTGAATAAAAATTAAAAACTTAATGGCATTTTATTCTCACAAGAATATGTCAGATATATGTTTGATAATATATTTTCATCACACTTGCTCGTAAATGGTATGATTGCATGGTGGCTAACTTGACTATAATGTCCCAAATAAAATCCATGGGACTTTTTTTTATTACAGTTACGGTCGATAAGGTGACCGTCGGGATGGCTGGTCGCTTGCGGCATCTGGCACAGTGTATATTCAAGAATTGCTATTTATTTGTTACTTTTTCTAAATAATTGCTATCTTTGATATATTCGGAGAAATTTAAAAAATAATTGTTTAGTCATTTTGATATCAGGGTGGCTGTTGTTTGGCATGAAGGGAGCAGATTTTTCAGAAGTATGTGTTACCAATAATTGCTACTTATTTGCTACTGTCGCGAATTAAAGGTATATGTTTCCTATTTGCATTAGTTGAAAAAATATAATTAATTGAAAATTTTATGAAGAAGGGCTTGATTAAATTAAAAATTAAAAGTTTTTGGTGTTTTATTGCTAGAGTATAAAGGGTAGGCGTTGGCATTTCTTCGTGAAATTTTAAATTGTTTATATTTTTTAAAGTAATGTTGACGAGGAGCGTATGTTTTTAAATTTGTGAAATTAGCAAATAGGTAGTACTTATTGGTAATAAATATTTCTGGAAAATTTGCTCTTTTCGTGCTGAACAAAGTGGCGACCAGTCATCCCGATATCGGGACGGCTGGTAAATTATTAAAAAAAATTTTTTAGAATATATCCAAGGCGAATAGCGATTATTTAGAGAGGGTAGGAAATAGGTAGCGATTTTTGAATATACCCTCAGTGCTGGGCGTCACAGGTGACGAGCCAGCCTGACGGTCGCGTCGGCGAGGGGTTTTTTAACTTGTTGCATGACATATTTCGTTACGTAGGTGAGATTGAAACGCAAGCGAGGAGGTCATTTGAGTTGAACATAAAAACGGTAGCTTGAAAATGTAGCTACACCCCACTTAAGCGTTAAGAATGTCTCGCAAATGGCAAAATTGAGATTGTCGCTGCGCGCCCCCAGAGACCTGGCGCCGGCGCACGTGCTGCTGGGCGCGCGCGGGCAGGCGCTGCTGACGTTCCGCGCCGGCCGCGCGGCGGAGGAGCGGCGGCCGCGAGCGCCCTGCGCGCCCGAGCTGCTGCGCGCGCTGCCGCCGCCCGGCGCCGCCTGCGACTTCTGGAGCTTCGGCGCGCTGCTGTACGAGCTGCTGTGCGGGCTGGTGAGTGTCGCGCCGGCGCCCGGCCGGCCTGGCAACGCGTTTTCGTTACGCTGACCCGCCTCTGCTGTCCCGACTCTCTCTTCCCGTGCGAAGGAGCCGCCCTTCTAAAAGACTCGATCTGTTGGCGTTCAAAGAACTCGTGAACGTTTACAATTCTTTACATCCCGTACAACAAAATGATACTACCGGAAAACTAAGACCGTCCGCACTAAAAAAAATTATCGTTTTAAGAACCAACTCCCGGTCGTCTAGAAAATTGACCGTATCATAATTGTTCCCACAAAAAAAAAACTTAATACTTCCTAAGACTTCGTATACCCTTCTACCGTCCAATAATTCTTCATTTCCCCACCATCAAAACAAATTACCACTTAAAAATAAACCCCGGCTAATAGTTACGTACGTCTCAAATTAGTTCGTACTCCTTCCAGAACACCCGCTGCACATAATTTTTTCAGCAATACAGTGGTACACAATTAAAACATGCTACCGAAAAATACTCTTTCCACTATCCCTGTCAATACCTCCAAAAAGAAAGCGACTTTCTCTCTCTAACTGAGAAAGAAAGTCACTCTCCAAAGTAATAAAATAACAAAATTGAAAAAATTGAACGACGAAAATTAAAAAAATTACCGCTCCGAACACTAGATAAAAACGAGCTTCGAGTCTTGCTGGAACCAATTGGCCCAATGAAAAATTATTTAACTGTCACTTATCAATAAAATTTTTTGTTCTTATTTGTAATATTTATTGTTATATACCAGATTCATTGCAATTCGTAAATACCTTAATAAATCGTTTCTCCGATAATTATACAATTTATTTTTTGTATATAGACGAACAACGAAATTAACTCCGGGGAATTTGCTACCAAGTTTTGTTTACCATAAACTGGATTAAAAAGAAAAACAAACTTTTCCAATCCAGGTTTGTGTCAACCAAACCCATTGAGCAAATTCCCCGAAGTTAATTCCGTTGGTCTGTCTTTCTAAAATTTAATTAGTTTAATACTTACAGCGAAATATCAAGTCCTGAAATTTCGAAACCCATTCACTATAAATTCTGAAATTCTTTAACAGTTTAAAAAATACGTAATTGCTATTTTCCAGCCACTGTCGTATTACCACAGCCACGAATTCACAAGTCACACGATTCTACAGTTTCCTGACGGGTTGCCATTGGAAGCACAGTCATTACTAACACAGGTAAAGACATTTGCTATTTTCATCGTCATTATAAATAAGCCCATTGCATATCTCATTGCTGAACAAACTGTTCTCAGCATTCAAAAGTTGAAAAGGACCACTACACTTTAGACTAGCTGTTTTCCATTGTTAAAGACGTGTGACGAGCAACAAATAGCAGTGACGTTGAACTATAACAGGGGTTTATTCTATGCAGACGGTTAGAACTAAGGGCCGCCCTGCTGTAACAGCATCTCGGTTTTTTTTATAATATTAAGTGACGGGATGAACAAGTCGTGCGATAGCAAGCGACACTCCTGTCCATAACAGTTGCGGTGCCACTCAGAGCTTTAAATCGCAAAGATTTGAAGGGCACTGCCACTGCGCCTACCACCCTGAAACCGGAACGCAAGTGTGCGTAATTCAAAAATTAAAATAAGCGATGATGGTGGTGGATAATTTTCTAAGATTTTTTTCTACACCTGACATTTGCTTTCCAGCTCCTAACCGCGGAGCCTTCTGAACGCCTCGGCGGAGGCAAGGACGGCATCGAGGAGATCAAACGACATCCGTACTTCAAGCAGATCGACTGGAGAGAAGTGTACGACAGCTGGGTCATGCCGGATTGAGGACGTCACTTCTGAAGTTGCGCTACGGAGTCAGTTAACTAATCAAATTCACAAGTGGTCAATGAGGCCTTCTTTACAATGGCCACGTGACGTTTTACAGGGTTATTTCTTTAGGTTGGAATTACAATCTAACTCTATGTAAGATACTGAACGGATTTTCCTAAAGAATCCACAATCATTCAATTGTGAAACTTTATATTATTTATTTGTTTTATTTGTTGTGAAATTACACCACTAGTTAGTTAAAGATCTATAACAGGCACATAGAAGAAATTGTAAAAACTGTAGCTTAGTTAGTAAAACAGTGGGGACGGAATCCCGTGGTCGCAAGTTTGAGTCCTGTCGGGTCGAAGGATTCTTTCTTTGTGTTCGATTTTTGTATTTAATATAATTATAACAAACTCGTGAAACTTTTTCAACACCGTTGTTCGAGAAGATGAACTTTCTATAGCGGTTATTTTTTTCTTCTTTAAGTCAAATTTAAAAGTTTGTTAGTTAGCAAGGAGTTTTTTTTATGCTTGGAATAAATTATGAATACTATATATCTAAAGATAAATGAATAAGAAAATTAAGCAAAATTCATAACTAAATTGATATACATTTATTTAAAAACAATTGTAAGACTGAATTTGTTCGTTTCTCTCTCTGCCTTTTATTTATTTTTTCATCGAGGAACATAAACTTACACTTTCGTAATTACAAAAATCCGCCATTGTAGTAGAATTTTTATTTATTTGTATTATACATAATTGCGAGTAGTTAAACTAATTTGGCGAATTTTTATAGCATTAACTGTGTGGCCGAACGGTTACTATTGGAGGGACTGCCACGCAGAGGCCCCAGACTCGATTCCCGGGCCGGGAGAAATATTTGTGTGGCCTACATTTGTTTCTCTCGTGAGTTTGGGTGTAATTTGTAGTTGTCTATGTGTGTGTCCATGGCACCCGCGACACAGGGTTTCCCTGGTGCGGGGCTATGTTGAGTGTGTGCGTTATTATTATTATTAAACTCTGTCAAACCAAACAGAGTGAAGCACAAGTTGAAAAATATTGTTTTCATGCCGTCGAAATATATTATCACTTATACACATAAAAAAAATTAATTGTGTTTTTGCAAATGTATTGAAAAACATCGTATTTTGACTATGAGTTTACAATGACAGCAGTTTTTAGAGACTGCATAAAATAATGACTTGCAAAGTCCTTGTGACAGGTATGGGCGCTGTACATTGACAACTTGTCACACTAAACTGTCATATATTTTACGTTAGCGACAACTCTCAATGTAAACTTATGGTATAGACACTTGCGACACTTTGTCAAATTATTTTCGACCAAATAAAACAATGCTTGTGTTATTTTCATCCCATACAAAACCTAAATTGGATAAGAGTTCCTTAGGGTAACTTTCAACAGCTTTGTCTATTATTATTGGTACAAAGAACGAACAAACATAAAGAAAAATTCCTTCGGTCCGACTGGGCTCGAACCAGCGTCTGTTGCAAAAACGCGGCTACTGCTCCAACCAGCAGAGCCAACGAATTTCTCTATGTCCGTTGCAGATCTTTATATTGGTGTTTAGACGGGTTTTTTGCCGTAGCTTTGTTTCTCTTGAATTTGATATTTATTACGGCATCATTTTGCAACAAACTTGTATAACACAAGATCAGTAACTGTAATTAGAAATCTAGTCGTAAGTTCAGACTGAAATGTCATGTCCTAAACTAGTTACACGTTTCGGGAGTAGTTATGAAAACTACATGGCTATTATCTACAAACCCGCTCTCTACTTTAGTTATTTGTTTACTGGAAGCATTGACTCACCTGGAAGTGATAATATTGACTATATAAAAATGTCGCATGAGCAACAACAAAGCAACTCAAAAACATTAAAAATATTGATGAGTCTTCCAATATACGAATAAAATTCACGTGGACTCCGTCATGGTGCATTTTTAAACGCTAAACAAATAGTTATTTAACGGAACCATACTTTAAAAATAAAGAAATTTCATTAAAAATAGTGTTCAAATGGAAATTTCTAATATACGGTAGTACAAAATAAAAAAGCATTTTCACATTACAAATTTCATTTGTGCCCATTATCATGTGATAAGTTAAATAAATAAAAACAAACCTTACGTTTTGGTGATCCTCTGAGTGGAGTACAATTGCAAATCTTTATAAAAACTAATAAGTTCTGTTACTTCGCTGTTTTAAGAAATTTGAAAGAGCTGCTTTCTTTCTATGGTCTAAATTCGATACTAGCGCCATTTTTGGGCCTCCGGCAGTAACTTGTAACTCTTTACTGTTTAGAACGTGCATTTAATAATAAACTTATAATTGTACATACCTAATTTAATCTTCTTAGATGAATGTACAATTTAGAGCTTATATACATATAATGAAAATAATGAGATATGAAGACATTTAGGCTTAAAAATAATATCATAGAACATAGTCATGTGATATAAAGTGAAAAAAGGATTCAAATTGACACTCATCGCGTGCAGTGAAAACGTAATTTATTTTTCACCAATGTATTCTACAACAGTATTCCTTCACGAATTTCAAATAAATCCTGTACAATTAGTTAGTTAGTTATTCCCGCATTGGCAAGCAAAATATGTGGTCCAATAGTGGCATCCAGTTCCCAGTAGATAAAAAGCGGGTGTAAATTTGTAAATCTTATCCGTTGGTAGCACGTTTGTGGTTGCCACTAAAAAATCTGTTGTTTTTAAGACAAAGAAGAAACTCTATTTAAAGGGAACAGTATTGATCCTTTCCTGTACATTATCAATTAATCTTATTTAATAATACTGTCAGTAGGGCGCTGAAATAGTTCTCTATTCCTATTTTTTTCTGTCACTAATAACAAGTTCTTTAGCTTAATGTCATCTAGTCGATATTTTCGAAAAGGAAATCAAAACAGATATAAGTTATTTAAAATTATTTTGCTTGTTAGAAAGAAAATTAAGTATTAAATTATGTACAAAATCATATAATTATATTTTTTCTAATCGAAAAATTGGTGACTAAAAAAGGTCTTTATAGGTTTTGGAAGTTACATTTGGACATTGGAAAGGCAAAGACGACTCAAGCTTCCCTATCAGACCAGTCTGTTAAAGTCGTACACGACTGGTGACATCATCAGCTAAACAAAAGAACACGAACCCAACGTGTAGTCGTTCGCTTCCGTCAGTTCGTCAACCATACATAGTAAGCCAACGTCAAAAAAGGTCGCAACAGACTTGTTTTTTAATTTTAAACACTACAATGCGGCCTTTAAATAATTTATAGATTCAGGCGTTACCTTGCGAAAATCCATTAGTATCTTGCTACTCCGATAATACAGTGATGGTTAAATCGAGCAAAATAGCTGCAGTTAACTTTCCAACCCTCTCTTCGCATAAAAATAATATAATTTGCGGAATAGCAAAGTTTATTTGCTTCCGTTTTTTATTAATATACGCGGAAAATTTCTCATCCTTCCGCTCCGCGCACAGGAACGCTATCTAGAATACTTGGTTGAAAAGAACTGTACCTCCTGCTCGCGGCTCCACTAGAAGACAAAAACCTAAAATGGATTTGCAATAATTGTGTTATAATTTCGTACATAATTTTATTTTTCGGACCTAAATTGTGGTGAGTCGCAATGGCGGGTGTATTACGACGAATCCAGTTGAATTGCATACTAGATGCGTATATAAATTGTACTATATTTAGTACAATTTCTCTTATTTTGTCTTTTGTGTATTTTCTTTACAATTGAATATTTTTCCTTAGGCTCAACGGAATGATCTGTGACCTACCTCAGGTCACAGGCTGAATTTCAGTCTTTGTCACGACCTGTGATGTTAGATTTTTGTGCTTGTTTCAAATTACAGTAGTACATATCGGTTGAGGAACTGCTGAGCAATTCCGCTCGGAAATTATACAATCCGAGTGATGACAGCTTCGCTCGCTACGCTTCCATTAACTTTGTAACGACACTGCTGTGTTCATTTCCTTTTCTAAGCCACGGAACCGGTACGTACTTTACAAAACCCTTCACTAGATAAGTCTTCTACGGTTTTCCAGAACATTGATATCAAAACTTTCTAGAAAACCAGAGTCTCTGTTTCAGGGTCCAAATGTAACTTTCTAAGCCTTTGTTAAAACTTGTTACTTTTGTCAATCTTTAAAATTTGTGACTTAACATTTTAATTTAAGGACAAAATCCAACATTACATAGTACGTATAGCGCACCTATATACTTTGTTAATTTATTTGATGTATGTACCTAATTAGAATATATTTATCCAATGGTGTTGATACTTTGACGTTTAATTAATGTGACGGGTTTAGATTTATGATCTCCTAAACTAAAACAGCTAGAAATATATAAAATATGTTTAGACATCAGTCAAAGATATTGTCGCAGTTAGCAAGCAAAGGCTAAAACATAACAACAATATTTCTAGATCTGTTAAATTAGTTAAGCCGTAGGATTAACACCAGTGTTAAGACCGGTACTATTATGTACTTGTTACAGTTTTATAGAATTACAAACATACTATAGACCAACTATTCCTTTGTTTTTTTAATTGACCACACCCCGCGTCTGTCTTTAAAAGTAAATGTTAGAAAATCTTGCGTAAATAATGCTTTTAAATGTTGTTTATTCGTGGCAACAATGAGGTGCGTAAAAATGCAAAATTGTTGCGGTGCTTCTCTTGCTATTAACTTGTCTTTGTCAATTCAGCAACTTGATCCCCGATCGGAAACTGCGTCTTTTCCGGGTCGAGGCGGCTTAATTGCGATTCACAACTGGCCGATCAGAAACTTGACATTTCTAATCGGAACAATAGTTGATTTAACTTACAAATTAGAAAGATATAGTAGGAATCAGGTAATAAGCGACACTCCTATCAATGACAGTTGCAGTACCACTTAGAGTTTTTAGAGAAATATTTGTATGGCCTACATTCATTTCTCTCGTGAGTATGGGTGTAATTTGTAGTTGTCTATGTTTGTCCATGGCACCCGCGGGGCTATGTTGAGTGTGTGCCTTATTATTATTATTCAAAGGTTTATTGGAATTAGAAATCAATGAAACTGTCACTCACGTAGCCTAACTTCCGTCAATAAACATACGTGACCTGAATGCTAGTAATGAGATCCGCTACTTTATTGCGGCTTGATATTAGCTAACGTGGACTGCACACCGTAAAATATAGCAAAAAACATGCTAGAAAACTCATGCTCAACAATGAAAGTTTTCTTCTATGAATGATTTACGAAATACAATAACCAGGGTTAAGATGAAGCTGTATGCGGCATTGAATACTTGCTGAGGTCAATCAATTAAGGCGCGTATAGTCAATGTCTTTAAACAGTTTATCCAGCTCTGTAGCCGAGTGGACGGAATGAAACATATCATCAGCAAGCCGGAAATTTGTTTTTAGTTTTCCTCTAGTTTTTCCTGCCTGCTATTTCCTTAACATCTCTTGTAGGAAATAAGATAAAGTGTTGGTGAAAGAAGGTTGTCTCTATTGATATCGAGTTCTTATGTTTTCGCGATTGCTGTGCATTGGGAATAAAAGTACTTTTTTGGACTTAAATCATGTTTATTTGTTTTTTTTTAACCGACTTTTAAAAAAGGAGGAGGTTCTCAATTCGTCTGTATGTTTTTTTTGTATGTATGTTACGAGATAACTCCGCCATTTGTGAACCGATATTGATGATTCTTTCTTGTTGGAAAGAAGATACCTCAGAAGTGGTCCCATTCAAATTTGAAGAAAATATTCCACCTCTAAGGGTGGTAAACTAGGGGATGAATGACCTTTGAGGTCGGTTTTTTTAACCGGAGGTTAGGTTATCAAAGTAATAGTAATGGGCCCTTTACAGGTCCCATGGTCACGGCTGACTGCAATGGTAAAATCATCAACCAATTATGTTTAATATTAATGTAAACCACCCTGATCCCATAGTTACAAAAGTTATTAATTTAAATAGCTTATTTAAACCGTCTTCAAAAGGGGACGAGGTTCGACTGTATTACTTTCACGTATTTTGTGAACCGATTACGGTTTTTTTTGTTGGAAAAGGGGTACCTCAGTCACTACTGAGCACTATAGTGTCCCACACAAATTTGAAGAAAATATTTTCATCCCTAAAGGGGTAAATTAGGGAGTGACTCCGGTTTTTTTCACTAATTTTTCGTTTACCGATTTCCGTAAAACTTGGAACATAAATTTGATTGCAATGAAAATAAAGCACTGTGAAAACAGATAAGCGAACATTTCAGGTCGTTTTCTTTTTCTATAAAAAAAGTTATAATTATTACTTTGCTAAATATTTTATAAGTTATTTAAAATTTCGTAACAGGGGAAGGGTAACGAATTCTTATAGATAATAACGAATTACCTGGTGTCAAACGAGGGCATTCCCTGTACTAGCACAAGAGCAACGAAATTTACTGCACGTCTCATCAAAACACCCAGACTGTTATAAAATAAGATCAATTTTATAAAAGTTCGTTTCTCAAATTGGTCCTACTGAGAATGGAACTTGATTGCTTCTTTTCTAATTGTAGAATAGGTCTTTCAACTTTTCTAGCTTAATTTTTATAAGCATATGTGCAATTTATAATTAATTTTGAAACCGGCGAAAGGAAGTTTCCTAAGTACTTCTTTAGTTCTGTACGTCCACGATAGATGGTGACAGCAGTTCCGAACTTTTGTAAACATAAGTAGGTAAACTAGTAGTAGTTTATGTAAACTTAAGTTACGATTTAACGAACCACAGACATATATGTATATATGCTGTGTAACGAACACATAAACAAGAGTGTAAGAAAAGATACCATAAAGTTTTAAGTAGTAGATTCGTTGCCGCCCCTAGTTACATTAAATGTAGATAGATAGATGACTAACGGTTTTTGGTCTTGTGCTCTTTGGAAAATAGTACAACTTAAAATTATTATTTTTCAATCAGGAGACCTTTCCCTTCGTTTACACATCACTTTGCGAATCGCGAAATCAATAATTACGTCATCAATTTACAAATTCCAAGAGTTCCCAAGCTTGCATACCATGCGAGGCCGACAATTTCTTCTGAGGTGAACAACTTTATCGTAAAACACTATTGTAAACCTTAAATTTGATTACGTAAAGTTATTTTTCTCTTAATACGAAGTCTGATCTTCCTTTAGTAATGTTTACAGTATACCCAACCTTACGTTGTTGTGATAAAGTATATTTTCTAATTAATTACTTTTAAATACACGAGTACGTTTCTTCTTGTTCAAATAATTTTGAGTCGTATTTAAATGATTTATAAGTTTGAAATCAAAGGAATCACTTGGTGAAAACTTAAATATTATAATGGTAGACGTAAAACGTGCGCATAAGGGATTAAATTGTGCGTTAGTAAAGTATTTTAAACTTGGTCGGTTAACTTCACGATCTTCGGAGAATGCAACCCGCTGATTGGCTCTCTCAAGACGACAGTCGTTTGTTTCCTTCACCGAAGGAAGGTGTGTGCCGCGCATGCGCGAGTGCATAAAATGGTTTGCATTTTAGAACGGTTTTGAAGTGAAATCGTTTAAAAACTATTAGAAACAATTTCTTTGTGATTATTAAAAAGAAATTGTTGACCTATTAATGGATTTGTTGTGAAGTTAAGTTTTTTAAATATATAAAAAACTTGTGCTTATGGAATTTCTTGACGCGTAAACGGGTTTGAGTCCCATCGGCTGTTTACTATGGATTTTGTAACCACGTGATTATAATAATATAGTCTATTATTATCTAACGTGGCCACGTGAGGAATCAATTTAGTGACATTTCATTCAAATTGTTTGGATTCCGTTGAGAACAGTAAGTTTTCTAAGTTTAAGTACTTATTTATTTAAAATACACTTTATATAATATGTATGAGTAAATAATCTGCAGTACCTAGCGTATTGAAAGTCTAATAAAAAAACAAACAACAAAAAACTACAGGTTTATTTGGCTTTCCAAATGCAAGGTCGACTTTATATAAAGTATTTTATTTTTTACATCACACTACAGGAGAACCGTGTCCAACGGCTGACTGGATTGTTTACACGTAGGTGTTATGTGATGATATTATAGTAAACAAAATTGGTTTTTGAAGTTTAAGAACGAATTGTTGTTGACTTGAGTAAGAAATCATGAATTTAGCCTAGAACAGGATAGATTATTTAATGTCATTGCTTAATTATAAATAGCTTAATTTTCATATAATTTAAAATTATAATTTTTCAATCTGATTATGTTGCATAATCTTAATAAATTAGGCAAATGACGATATGTGTAATAAAAAAGTATAGTATTATTGTTGTCAACGTTCCACTTCTGGCTACGGGTGGAGTCTCGGAACGGGCTCAACTGTACATTACCATCGCACGAGTTGAGAGTTGAAATTAATATGGTGAATAGATTACATAGTTAGCAGTCTAATCCTGAAAAATTAGCTTTAGGAAACTCGTAGTTTTGATAATAAAAATTATTGAAATATTCGAAAATAAATGATAGGAAACACAACTGTACATTACCATCGCACGAGTTGAGAGTTGAAATTAATATGGTGAATAGATTACATAGTTAGCAGTCTAATCCTAAAAAATTAGCTTTAGGAAACTCGTGGTTTTGATAATAAAAAAATATTGAAATACCTATTCGAAAATAAATGATAGGAAACAGGTTTTGTAGGTTAGGAAAGTACAGCGTTTGGTTGTTGCAGTATTTTTTTTGAAATATCGCAAAAAAAAAAAAAACATTTTCGTAAAAAAAAATGAACGAAACGCCGCGCGCGCGGCGTATTCGAAAAATTTTTCGCAGTATTGAATTGAACAGCACAAATTAATACGTAATTGTAAATTTAACATAGACATTTACTATAATTAGTATATAAGCTTTTATTTTCGAACAATTATTTTTTGTTGCAAAAAGGACGCCATGTTGTTTGTTGTTGTTTACTGTTTGATGTATGCATTAATTACGATTTTGCTTTTTGCCTGGATTTAGGTTAAATTTAGTTTCTCATATAACACAGGAAGTGGGGACATGGTGGGTTTTTCCCGCTAGGGGTTCGGGGGGAGGGGTTTACCCCGCTCTTTGGTGCGAAAACATGATTTTTTGAGGTTATTTTTTTCGAATTTTCAAAAATTAATATCTCGAAAACTATTAACTTCCTAACTTTGAAACTTTACACGAAGGGTCCCCCCCCTCCCCCTCCCATCCCTCAAATCGTGCGATGGTAATGTACAGTCCTTCCTCGGAACGTAAACAAAAGAAAGCACTACCTATATTGTTATACTTACAGACGTACATATTTATTTTAAATATTTAAATATTATAGCATTTGCCAAGTATAGCATTTACTATAGTTTAGTATGCACATAAGAGTGGTTACACTCGGCGACTCGAACGCGTGTTTGCATCGCTACATTTGGCATTTAGAGGCGATTGCATCGATAGATAGAAGCTAAACATATGGATAAAAATGACCATTTGGATGTAATCTAAGTAAATATGTGGTCTAAGTATGAGAAAACGAATTGCTTGTTTTTAACTTCGCAATTGTCTGTGCAAATATTGGCCACTGGCAAAGGCGTGTAATGATTAATGTCAAACTTGACATTGCGCGTCAGTTGTGAAATTTCGAGAGTATGTAACTATAATACATGCCAACCTGCTCTGGTAATTGTCGGATAGATCAGTCGTAACTCAAATTGATTGTTGTAATTTCGTTGCAGATTATTACCGAGGTTCCAATTATGTATACATGTATAGACATATTATTATTAATATACTAATATTAATACCTATCTTTAGGATATCATATATTTTGAACTTTAAAAATGGAATAACTTTTGTTCGTGCATGCATAATTTATTTTTTTAAGTACTAAATATATTTACACAGTATTACTAACGACCTAAACTAATTAAACAAGATAGATATAATATATACATTATACTAAAACACTTTATTTCCTAGCATCCATCATCTCACAATACATACACCTATTATGCATACACAATATACAGCCGCCACCCCGGTGCTTATGAAATTTAGGCAGCGATATGAAACTTTTGTAGAAAGTACTGAAGCTGAGACACGAATACGCGAAAAAAAAATGTACTGCATATTTCTCTTATTTGAATCAAATTTAGACTTGGATTCTCGCTTTTTTAAGGAATTTCTTTACTACTATATATAATGGGAAAACGTTTGCCCAATAGCAGGACACTAATATTAAAAAATGAACTTTATCGTAAATCAACACTAGCACTGTGATTTAAGGACCCAAAAGTAACGTCAACCTTTAAAAATAATCACATAATAATTTTGTTGAAGGCATCAAATAAAAATAAGATAATTATTATATGTTTATAAATCACAATGTGTCAAAAAACGGGGGGGTGAATACACTTTCGTACATTGGTTGTGTTTTTAACAACTTTCGCCTTGCGTAACACGGTTTTTTATGTAAAACAGTATGCCACTGGATCGTGATCATACCTACCTGTTTGTACGTAATAATACATGTTAACCAAAAAAAATATTAACTTGCGGTAAAATTACACATAAATATTTAAGAGAAAACATTATTATTAAAATAATTACTTGTTTTAATTATATAAACGACATTTCTTGCGTATTTTATGGTCACCGTTGAGTTTTTTTTTTTCAAATAAATTTTCTTGCGATTTTGTCATTTCATTACCGAAAAAAGTACATTTACATGTAATATCCATTGAAAGTAAGAGCACGCTACATAGTCTCACAGTTGAAATAAACATTAAAAGAAAAAGGTGTTCAAGATTACAATAACAGTTTTAAGTAGTCATCGCAAAGTAGGCTTTAAAACTTTGTACCACTGCTTCACTTTAATTAGACGTAATTATGGAAATAAAAACACGCATACCTTTTTTTTTTAAATCTAAAGAAATCTTCATAAATGTTCCTGGAGCCTAGAAACCTATACGGTAGACAACCCTAGATAAGTTTTTACTAAACATTCAACAGCACGTTCTCTTTTACAGATAAGATTAACTACAATTCTATAGTACTTATACTAAAAAGTGTAAAACTGAATGTCCAGTTGCCTGTAGGTACTTATTTTGCTTAGTACCTACTACGCTTCAAAGACAACGACGAAATTACTCGGCCGAATTTTCAACAGGTTTTGCACAAAGTAGAGTAGGTTGGACTTGTGCCTGATCGGTCCTTAACCGGAGCGATCCTAGTTAGTTCAATCGGTCAACTGAACTAGGTCGGTCTTCTAGTTCATTTAGTTCATCTAGTTCCTTAGTTAGTTAGTTCGTCTTGTCCTTGCTCGGACATTGAACGAACGCTCCAAACTGAACCACATGAACTCCACATGAACTACTACGGACTTCTAGTATTATGAGGTCAATACTACACTGTACTAAATATTTAAAAATACAATTTGTATGGAGTCGGTACTATTTGATTTTTCTTCATATTTTACAGGTTTAAATACTGTCATTCTAACTAAATACCCTTTTTTTTTTACAAAATTAGAATTTTAGTTAGAATTGTGTGTTTAAAAATCAATATTTAGGTACAACTATTTCATATACTGGTACACGTAGGTTGATATTATACATACAATACCTACAAAAAAATATTACTTTTTTGCAAGCTTGTATATTATGTACATAAAGTAGAGACGTATTAGAGACTTAGAACAAGCTAGGAACGTTCAATCGTGCTTCCCACTTGAATTTGTACTGAAAGTAGTGAAAGATCGCTATTTGTCCCGTTTGCACCGTTCCTACTGTATAAAACACAGGCGAACTATCAACGCAGACAGTTCCTAGTTCGTACTGAACTAAAAAGAACGATGAACTATTAAAACCGTGCAAGACGAACTAGTTCATGTCGGTCAGTGTAGGGAATACATTCCTAATAGTTCGTAGTTAGTGAACTATATAATAGCCTTAAGTACGTACGTTTTCTTAAATACCACCAACAAGTCGGTGAATGTTACATTTCTAAATTCATTAATTAATTATTGCGGGGGCGATTTGTAGTAAACGTATTTTGTCTGTGGACTATATTGAATAAAATTAAATATAAGATCCGAATGTGGCCATAATCAGCTTACACGCATCCACTTGTGGACATAATTCTCCCTCTGAGCACGCCAGCTCTATCGGTTCCGCATCCATGCAGCCGTTACCCGCCATCTTTCTCAGATCGTGTCGTCCATCTTGCCACAGGACGTCGTACACTCTAGAACAAGGCTGCTCCAACGACCACCAGCCCTCCTGCAGACATGTCCAGCTTACTGCCACTTAAGCTTACTGGTTTTGCGATTTAGGTTGGTAACTTTAGTTCTCTGCCGCATGACTTCATTAGGAATTCAGTTAATCAGAGAAACCACATGCTGAGCGACTTGAAATTTGTGAATGTAGGTAACCATTATCGATAAAATACGAAGTAAATCGTAATAACAACAACACAACAAAATTGTAGACAAAAACAAATACACAACACCTTCATGCCAACAATGACCTTCGCGGGAAAAAGAAATAACGGTGTTCGCAAGAAAGAAACGTGACAAAGCGATATAACCGTAACTATTACATCGTATCGGTTCTCAAGATATCAGTTAGTGCGGGGAAAAATGCCGGAAACCTTCTCAGGCGGTTTTAATGTGCGATCTCTCACGCATATTTCATATTCACAGGAATATAATTTAAAATGATGTAATGTTGAATAAATATTCCGACGCGAACCTATTACATTTTTTGTTTTACAATAGCGGTGGCAGGTTCAAATCCGTTTGGAGGCACGTATAGCAAGTTTTAATTTCTTAG